TGAGAGATCCAATCCAATCCCACCTTTAGACTTGCTTTAAAATGAGTCCTTAAATGGCTGTGTTAATGAGTGCAATTAACACTGCTATAATATGTTTAAATGGAAATAAATATACAGGTATTTGCAAAATTAAATGCTTTGGGTTTGTTCTGACATATTCAATGAAGCTGCAAATAACTGCATCTGTACAGTAAAGGGATAGTAAAGTCACCAAAACCATTACAGCTTAATGCAGTGGTCCTGGCGTCTATAACATGTCCCTGCTATATTACCAGTGTAAACACTGGTTTTTCAGAGCAAAGGCAGTGTTTACATTGGTGACTAGGTGCAGTCACTCAGACGGCCACTAGAGGTGCTTCCTATCTGCAGCACTGATGTTCAGTGTCTAACTCCTGGTCCTTAGGTGGCATACTTAGCACCTTATGTATAATCCGGAGCTAGGTTCCAAAACAACACACAACTAAAGAGCACTCATGGGTAAAAGTGGAAACAAAAGTAACCAGGCATCAGATCCAGAGAATAGACCCGAGTGAATCAGAATGTCTAACATGTCTTTACGTGGGCATATGAACTGAATGAAGTCTGAAAAGAGTAGAATTATTCACTAAAGTGTGAATTTAAAGTGAATTTCAGATTTAAAGCCAAAGTAGGCAAAATGGAAGCATAGCTGACTTAGAGAATTTTATGCCCTTAATTTTGAAAATCACTTTGAATTCTAAGTTTAGTAAATAGCCCTGCAGATGTAGCTACTCCCTAGTCTGTTGTGTAGATCTGAAGTATGAATAAAGTTTTTATATAGTTGCTATCGGGCAGACTAGATGGGCCGAATGGTTCTTATCTGCCGTCACATTCTATGTTTCTATGTTTCTAGAGAACTCTTTTTGTTTGGCATGCCCATTGAAGCCTGGTTAATTCGTTGTCTTTTGTTTCATTAGGACTTGAACTTCCACCCCTGGGGGCTTTCAGATCATCTTGGGTAAAGCTAGCTTTTCATAGCTTGATTGTTTTGTCAACAGAGTCTAGTCTGTATTTCTTGAAATTGTCTGGAAGTTCCATTTACCTCATTTATAACCTGTAATATTTCCCGAAAGTAGATCATTCCACGTCATACGGGAGAGAATGGCAGGTGGGGCGCATTGAGCCTACGGCCAAATCTGTAGTTTTTAATGGGTATCACTATAACTCATACAATGTTATTTGCCATGTAAAATCGTATTTTGTTTACAAATATTATATAAATGTTTACATACATTGACAGACTTTAACGCATATAGACATATGTGTTTCACATTCAGTAATCCTGATGAAGGAAGTGGAAAATATTATACCTGCTAAATTTTCTACTCACCAGCTGCAATCACTGTCAGCAATGTTTGAATATCTTTATTACGACATTCTAATAGGAAGATGGAAGCATTCTAAATATATTTTCCTGTGTAAAGAGTGAGTGTATGTGTACAATTTCGGTATGTACATAAAACACAATAGTAAACTTGTAACACAGCCACACTTTGGAGGGGATCATAGTATGGGTGGTCTATTAAGAGCATCACAAAAATTAGGCAGCCTTGTCGGAAAAAAGTTCTCTGCGTTCAGTGAGGTTTAGCAAATGATGCCAAAGTCTGTAGGTTCTTAATGATCTCAGTCCTGTGTAGCCAGCCACAGAATTATATTAGAAAGCAGATCACTGTGGTTTGTGTAATCTATGAAAGGAAGGGGCAGGAATCTTTTGTATAAAATGTGTTAACACCATACTGCATGAACTAAGAACAGATTGTCCGAAAACATCTGTGTGAAACAGTCTGTTTTTAGAACACAGTTGTATATATGTTTATTCACGAGAGATAACGCAGGGTTAATGCAATATTGGATATTACATTGTGTACTGGAAATAAAATATTATATGTGTAATTTAACCCTTGTCCATTTACCTCCATCTGTTCTATTGCTCTTTACATCCTTATTGTCCTCTGTTGACAAATGACAAACATCAACATTTCATTGAGGTCCATTCCAAATGAAAGCCAGCAGAGTTAATGGAACACTCCAATCACTTTAACTCTGGGTGGAAGCACCAACGTGTGCTGGGAGTGCCCTGTCCCCCCTTTCCCAAATAAATAGTCATACTATTCTAGAAGGGTTAGACTTCTTATCTGCCCCAGGAGATGCTCCCCACTTTTCCTCCCCTGCTTTGGAGAGCTTGAAGGTCACCCTACAGGGCTTGTTCAGTGGCTGAGAGTGTTAGCTGATGAATCATAGCCAATGAACAAAGTACTGTAGTGCTAGGCTTAGCATAGAGTCCGTGGCTCTCTGAGAGCCAGGGAGTGTGCAACTGGTAGACCCCAAGGTAAGAAGTCAAACCATTCTAAAAATGTTTGACAACTGTGAAGGGCACAAGGCCACTACTGTCACCATAACTAACCACTGGAGTGCACTGTACATAGTGTTATAGTGGTTATAGTGTCTAACATGTTTCTTTAAAGGTTTCCGCAACTCAAATAATAAACATTGAACAGAATTTCAGTCCACTAGGGTTTAGAGATCCATCTAACAAATTTAACTAAATGCTTATGGGCAACACAAGTGCTGTCCTACTTTATACAGTGACTAGAGTTGAGTGGACACCTGGATGTTCGGGTCCGGTGGGTTCGGCCGAACTTTGAAAACAAGTCTGGGTTCGGGCTCGAACTTGACCCTGAACCCGAACCCCATTGAAGTCAATGGGGAACCGAACTTTTGGCCACAAAAATGGCTCTAAAAAACTCCTGGAGAGGGCTAGAGGGCTGCAAAAGGAAGTAAAATGGGAGTAAGAGTAGGACAAGTGCCCTGCAAACAAATGTGGATAGGGAAATCACTTAAAATAACAAAATAAGCAGTCGCTTAGTAGATAACTCCCTAATTCACACGGTATTAGGGAGCAGTCTACCAAAAGGCTGAAAGACCTAAATTGGTCACCTAAATTGGCATTTCAGCCACATTTACTAATACTAAGTAAAGATTACTTAGTATTAGTAAATTCAGCCCCTACTCGCTATACTGCGAGTAGGGGTGTGTCTAGTAAACAGTGAGCAGCCAGTGGCTGCTCACTGTAAAAAAACAAACAAAAAAAACCTATTGCCCCCACCCCTGTGCGACGGGTGGGGGCACTAAATAAGAATGTGGAGGGGGGGGACCTACTGTCCTCCCACCGAGCCCCCACCCCTGCGTGGTGGATGGGGGCCATAAATAAATAATGAGGGCGACCTACTGTCCTCCCCTCCCAAGCGGTGGGTGGGGGCCATAAATAAAAATTGCGGGGGACCTAAGGTCCTCCCCCCGGCCCTCACCCCTGCCCTGCACGGCGGGTGGGGGACCTAAATAACAATAGGGGAGGAACCTAATGTCCTCCCCCCCTGGCCCCCACCCATGCACGGCAGGTGGGGGCCCTAAATAACAATAAGGGGGGGATGACCTACTGTCCTCCCCCCCGCCCCAACCCCTGAGCGGTGGGGGTCATAAATAAAAATTGGGGGGTACCCAATTTTCTTCACCCCCGGCCCCCACCCCTGAGCGGTGGGTGGGGGCCCTAAATAACAATAAGGGGGGGCGACATAATGTCCTCCCCCCTGTCTCCCACCCCTGTGTGGCGGGTGGGGGCCCTAAATAACAATAAGGGGGGGACCTAATGTCCTCCCCGCAGCCCCCACCCCTGAGCGGTGGGTGGGGGCCATAAATAAAAATTCCCCCCCAAACCCCTAGTCACCCCCCTCCCCCCCAAAAAAAACTAACCCCCACCTACCCCCCTCACCCTAAAAATAATGAGGGGGGACATTAACTAAGTACCTGTTAAAAAAAAGATAAAATAAAACTTACCATTTGATGTTTCCTTTCTTCTAAAATCTTTTTTCAGCCCCAAAAAAGGCCAAATAAAAATCCATAATAACTGACGCACTTTAAAAAAAACGCAAAAAAGAAAATCCATGTTCACCTGGAGGGCTCCACGCAGACTGACCTCTGCAGGGCGGAGGAAGGCTTATAAAGCCTTGCACCGCCCTGCAATTAGGCTCAGAGCACTCTGATTGGTGGGTTTAAGCCATCCAATCAGAGTGCTCTGACAGGTAAATGAAGAGACTGACAGGTAAGTCTCTACATTTACTTGTCACAGCACTCTGATTGGTTAGCTTGAAATCCACCAATCAGAGTGCTCTGTGTCATTTTACACAGTGTGGGAAAGTTCCAAAGAACTTTCCCACGCTGTGTAAAATGACACAGAGCACTCTGATTGGTTAGCTTGAAATCCAGCCAATCAAAGTGCTCTGTGTCATTTTACACAGCGTGGGAAAATTCCAAAGAACTTTCCCACACTGTGTAAAATGACACAGAGCCCTCTGATTGGTGGATTTCAAGCCAACCAGAGTGCTGTGACAGGTAAATGTAGAAACTTACCTGTCAGTCTCTTCATTTACCTGTCAGAGCACTCTGATTGGATGGCTTAAACCCACCAATCAGAGTGCTCTGAGCCTAATTGCAGGGTGGGGCAAGGCTTTATAAGCCTTACCCCGCCCTCAGGGCCGGATTAACATAGGGGCTGATGGAGCTGCAGCTCCAGGCCCAGGCCCATGGAATAGGCCCATTGATTTATAAAAAATAAAAAAAACTTTTTTTTTTTTAAATTTTTTTTTTTCCACACACTACTCTTAGGGATTCCACCTGGCTTTTATTTTATTGGCACAGCCAGTATTTGAGGCTGCCTGGCTGGTGCCAATATTGCAGTGATACTGGCAATACAAATGCTGGTATTTTTCTCAGTATAAACAAGAGATTACTCTGCAATACCAGCACTGGCCAGTAGGGTCAGTCGCTGTGTGTGGAGACAGGCAGGTATAGGAAGTTCCAGCATATCCCTCCCTGCCTATCTATACTCACTGATCTGCATGGGTGCAGCTACAGAGAGTCCAGACAGCAACTCCCACCCTGCAGAGACAGCCTACAGCTCAGGGAAGTAAGGGATGGGGGGAAAGGCTGCAAGGAGACATTCACTGAGACACTAAGGGACATTGGGAGACATTATGACAGACACCTGGGGACACAGTGTCCCCATCTCTCCCAGCCAGTGTCCCTGGTGTCTCAGTGCCCCCTAGTCTGCCAGTGCCCCCAGTCTGCCAGTGTCTCACTGTTCCCATGTCTTCTAGTGCCTCCATGTCTCCCAGTGCCCCCATGTCTCAATTTTCCCATCTCCCCCAGCCAGTGTCTCTAGTGTCTGTGTCCCTGGTGTCTGTGTCCCCATGTCTTCAAGTGTCCCCATGCATCCCAGCCAGAGTCCCCTAGTCTCCCAGTGCCACTGGTGTCTCTGTGTCCCTAGGTGTCCCCAGGTCTTCCTAGTGACATGGGAACTCTGGGATACATGGGGACACAGGGAGACACGGGGCATTGAGACACTGTGATACATAGGACACGACACTAGGGGACACTGGGAGACATGGGGCACTGAGACACTGATACATAGGAACACTGAGAACAGGAGTAATCGACACATGGGGGCACTGGGAGACATGGGGCTACTGGGAGGAATCCATCTATACAGCAGAATCAACCTAAGTAGTTTTTTGGTGATTTTACAGCATTTTCTCTTATGTCACTCCTTGTGATTTACATCATGTGATGTCACCCACACATATTTAATTATGCAAATTAGCAAGGCTGGTATGTTTTTCCAAGAAAGGTGGCAACCCTAACTACTTTTCACATACCCTTACTTAAGTATGGAAACTTAAGAGGGATGTATGGGAACAAAACTTGTGTGGACTGGCTGACAATGAATATAGTGAAAGGGACACTAGAGTCACCAGAACAACTACTGCTGATTGAATTTGTTCTGGTGAGTAGAATCATTACCGTCAGGCTTTTTGCTGTAAACACTGTCTTTTCAGAGAAAATACAGTCTTTACATTACAACCTAGTGATAACTTCACTGGCCACTCCTTAGATGGCTGTTAGAGATCTTTCCTGGGTCATGGCTGCCTAAAATGCATCCAAACATTCAGTGTCTCCTCCCTCTGCATGCAGACACTGAACTTTCCTCATAGAGATTCATTGATTAAATTCATCTCTATGAGGAGATGCTGATTGGCCAGGGCTGAGTTTGAATCATGCTGGCTCTGCCCCTGATCTGCCTCTTTGTCAGTCTCAGCCAATCCTATGGGTAAGCACTGTGATTGGAATAGGCCACCACTTCTAATGATGTCAGCAGACTGCTTGTTTTTCTGAGTCTAACAGCATGCAGAGTTACAGCTTCAGGCTTGACTACAGTAAGATTTTTCTATATTTATGGAGGCATGAGGGGCCCAGGGGGGCTAGATGGTGGTGTTAACACTATATGGTCATGAATTCATGTTTGTGTTCCTGACTCTATAGTGATCCTTTAAGGTAATGCTGACTTTGGTCTCTCTAACACTGTGGCATGTTCCCTTTCTTCGACACTCACTACATACAGCTTTTCTCTGTCCCAGACCATATACCAGGAGCTTCTGCCTGCTAGTAAGAAGGTTAGGAGACAAGTGGACCAGCGAGTGCTAGGGGACAGTCCTTAGAAAGCGTTGAGTGAGCACATTATTTGATGCATTTATGTCAAGCTCAGGGTGCTGTCTGCATAGTATGCCCTTAGTTGGCCAACTGCATGATTGGCAGGCAGCCTGACATGCATTCATGCCAGGCTGGCCTTCTAATTCTTTGAGCAGACATGTCCTCTTTTTGGGCATGTTCGCACCTTTTTGCAGGTTACGTGTTTTGTGTCAGTGGCACACCCTTTTACCATGCCCATTGACTTCCTGCTTGACTGGACACTGCTGTTAGGGTTATGGATTTACTTGAAAGATGAAAACATAAATTAGAGAGAGATTAGCCTAGGGTATGTGTTTTCTTATAGCTGCTGTTTTCTATCTCTCCAGCACCATCTCCATCAGATACATGACGCTTGGGAGAGTTTTACTGTTTTTGGTCGATATGATTCTGTAATTAGGCCCGCCATAATTGTCAGCACCAGGTCCACTGGGCTCTTAATCTGGCCCTGCCCGCCCTGCAGAGCTCAGTCTGCGCAGAGCCCTCCATGGGTGAAGAAGGATTAGGTTCCCCCCCCAATTTTTATTTATGACCCCCACCCACCGCTCAGGGGTGGGGGCTGGGGGAGGACATTAGGTCCCCCCCCCTTATTGTTATTTAGGGCCCCCTCCTGCCGCGCAGGGGTGGGGGCTGGGGGGAGGACATTAGGTTCCCCCAAAATTTTTATTTATGGCCCCCACCCACCGCTCAGGGGTGGGGGCAGGGGGGGGAGGACATTAGGTTCCCCCTTATTGTTATTTAGGACCCCCACCAGCTGTGCAGGGGTAGGGGCCAGGGGGAGGACATTAGGTTCCCCCCAATTTTTATCTATTGCCCCCACCCACCGCTCAGGGGTGGGGGCCAGGGGAGGAGGACATTAGGTCCCCCCCTTATTGTTATTTAGGGCCGCCGCACAAGGGTGGGGGCCGGGGGGAGGACAGTAGGTCCCCCCCTTATTGTTATTTAGGGCCCCCACCCGCGGCTCAGGGGTGGTGGCCGGGGGGGACAATAGGCCCCCCCTTTAGTTTAAAAGCCCCCACTTGCACGTCGTAGGTGGGGGCTCAGGAGGGGGGAATATTTTTTGTTTATATTTTAACAGTGAGCAGCCACAGGCACACCCCTACTTGTGGTATAGCGAGTAGGGGCATAATTTACTAATACTAAGTGACCAGCTTCTATAGAGGCTGGGTCACTTGCTGCACTGGCCATTCACAGCCATGCCATTAGTAAGCATGGCTGTGATGGCTTCTAAGGGCACACGAGTCAAACGCTTGTTGATTGGCTGCCCTGCGGCCTTTCAAAACGTGTCGTTAAATCACCGAACTGCGAAATCCAACCCGAACATACAGTGATATGTCCGTGTTCGGGTCCTGGGTCCAAAAAACCTAATGTTCGGTATGAACCCGAACTTTTTAAGTTTGGGTTCGCTCAACTCTAACAATGACATACCTCTTAATTTTGTCCCGGCTGTTCCAGTCCAGGGAACTAAAGCAGGAGAGGAACCAGAAATCATGGCTGTCCTGCCAAAAGAGAAACAGTTTGGAAGCATGCAGTGATCATATAAGGCAGCTGATGTAGTTACCAATGAGAAATCCCAGACGAAACTGCCTCGATTAATTGTTTTCCTTATTGCAGCGGATCTGACTAAGATTGCCCAGGGCCCTAGGCAGAATGTCAGATTGGAACCTCCTTCTAGAGCCATAGCCTCTGTTCTGTGAATGGGAGAAGCTGAGTGTTGTGTTTGTGTGGTGGCTGGGTGTGAAGAGTGAAAAAAGCTGAGTTGTATGAGGAGGTGAGGTTGAGCGTTCCTGTATGTTCTGGTTGGTTGTTGTGTGTGTGGTGGCTGACTTCTGTGGAGAGAAGTCTGAGTGTGGCTGAGGGCTTTGTATTGGGGAGGTGCAGTGTTTGGTGTCTGAGGGTTGTGCGTGTTGGAAGATGAGGTTGAATGTGCATAGGGAAGCCTCCATACACATCATTCCCTCTTTATTCATTTTTTTTATTTGAAATAATCCTTGGTGGTTAAGTGAAAGAGATGCTGGACAGCAGAATTCGTGGTGGCAGAGAAGGATTAAGATCACACAGGGCCCTATGCCAGTTGCTGGTTTTGAGCTCAATGTGATGGTAAATGATTCCAAACAAATGAATGGCTATCTGGCCCTAGATGGCCCCATAACGTTGTATTATGGTTAGTCCTGCTCGACTCCGGCAGGGGATTAATATGGTCTGCAACTCTGCCAGGTTCAGATCACTTCGAGATCCCCTTGCTGTCCAGGTGCCTGTTCACTGACTCAAAGTATTGGTGGCAGCACACGGATTCACTGAGCAGTGCATGGGAGCTCTTATATTAATTTGCACCCAATTGAGGTGCAGATCATAAAACTCTCTCAAACTAATTAAAAGGAGCAGGGTGGAGCTCTGTGTACTGTATGAATGCTATGTACTACAGGATGGTATTTTCAGGGATTTGTGTATTGTTAAAATATATGTTTTTCTAAAACTTTAAAAATTGTCTAAGTGTTCAATTGTGTTCTCTACCATTTGCTTTCTATTGACAAAATATATATAGACAGTTGTGCTTAGTGTTCTTGCTACTCTCAAAAGGGTGGAATTGGACACAGTGCCCCCAAGTGGTAAAAACCTGTCATTAGCCCATTCTTAGAGAAACAATTAGGAATTCCATAACATATGACTGCATTTAGAGGCAGAAATAAACATATATAAGATGCAGTTGCATTTCCCATGCAATGCCTGCTCTTGCTTAGAATGAAACCCCCAACAGGCTAAACAATGCACACATATCCAACAGTCACATTCTAATCCCCTTAAAGTGTGATGTTAGTAAATACTTAACAAAGGTGCATTCACTAGTGTTTCACTTACTGGTCCACAAGTACCAGCAATGTTCCAGGTTTTGTCAATATTCACTCTGGACCATTGTGGACCCTTGTGGAAAGGAATTAGGGGTATAATAGTTAATATGTGGGGTGAACGTTTGCTGATCCAAGGAGAAACTGGTTTGCTATTTTGGAGTCAAGAAGGAATTCTTTCTAATATCTGGAAAAATTTGAAAGCAGTTCAAATTGGGGCTTAAACCTTCGTTTTGCTCAGCAGCAGAATGTGTGAAAAATGCAAAATGTGTGAAAGGCGTGATTTGGATAACTTTCATTTTTTTCAATCTAAATTACTATGCGAATGTGAAACTAATAATTCAAAAAGTTGACTAATTAGCTGTATAATTGATTACGTTTAGGCATAGGCTATTAAATGCCATAAAAGGCTCTGGTTCACCACTATGGAACATGTTTTCCTTTGACCAAAACACTGGTAAAAAATAAATAAAAATGAAAATGAATAACTCATATGTGTCTTTGTAAAAATGAAAAACCTGACTTTTCACTTGATTTTGCACTCTTTTATATTTCTAACTGCTTCAAGAACGTGACAGATGCCTATGCAATATATTTAGGGTTTTATGATGCTCTAAATTTTAAAATGTCTATATTGATGGCACTACTATGAATTGATTGTTTCCTAAAGCACTCTCACAGGTTTATTTACTAACGTGTGAATTGTCAGAAATTCTAAGTACATTTTACATTTTTGTGCCAAACTAGTCAAACTGAAAATGGAGTTGACTTTGAGAAATAATCCAAATTGTCTCTTTTTGCCTAAAATCCTTAATTAACTCTGAATTATCGGCAATTCACACTGTAGTGAAAATTTTCAGGAATTTAAAATGACAAGCAGTCTGTGTGTGTGTGCTTTTAGCAGTCTCTGTGTGTATCTTTAGTAGTCGGTTTGTGTGTATATAGCAGTCTGTGTGTGTGTGTGTATTCAGTAGGCTGTGTGTGTATTCAGCAGTCTCTGTGTGTGTCTTTAGTAGTCGGTTTGTGTGTATACAGCAGTCTGTGAATTTATCGATAATTTCCATTTTTATTACTGTAAGTGGTGGTGTAGGCAGGGACCCAGTAGACTGCTTTGCCCGGGGACCTATAATGCTATTAAGATGGCTCTGTGCCAGCCTAGTGTAGGCAGCGAATTGTGGCCTAGTGCAAGTGAAACAGCTGCATGGGAGAGGTGCCACACTCCTGATCCATGGAACACTGCAACATCATGTGGTTCTTTTGCGGTCCCGTTTCCCCCACTCTGGACCGATGAGGATTATTCCGGTCCCCACTGACTTGATCTACAGACCTGTGATATTTTCCAGTGACCGCTCCTGCTTTCTCCCGCTCTGGAGACCAGTGAGGGTTATTCCGGTCCCCACTGACTTGATCTACATACCTGTGATATTTTCCAGTGACCGCTCCTGCTTTCTCCCACTCTGGAGACCAGTGAGGGTTATTCCGGTCCCCACTGACTTGATCTACATACCGGTGATATTTTCCAGTGACCGCTCCTGATTTCTCCCACTCTGGACCGGTGAGGGTTATTCCGGTCCCTACTGACTTGATCTACATACCTGTGATATTTTCCAGTGACCGCTCCTGCTTTCTCCCAGATCAGAGACAACTCACCAAAATGGTGGATGCACTCCCTCCTAATAAGCAAACGTTGGCATTACTTTACAGAGAATTCCCTGAGGTGTCTGGAGGTGATCTTTGAGAGCTTTTGGGAAGCATTGGAGGCATGAGCACTGACTTTGCCTTCTTTACTCCAGGAGGAAGATTGGAGGCGCGAGAAGCAGGGGAAAAGAGTAGTTCACCTACCGGGGCTGAAAGCCACAAGGGCTCTATCCCTGATGCATTAACCACTAAGGCGGAAGACAGCTCACTGCTTGCAGCAGCAGAACATTAGACCCTGCTGCAATCTCCGGATGGAGAGGGATTTGGACTCTGTGAGCCCCCGGGTCCGTGGCTTGGAGATGCTGTCCTCTGTACAGGCCAGCTGCTGGGGGAACGCCTTACATTTCTCAGGTTCTGCAGTTGCCTCTGATGACCAACCAGCAAGTATCCTACGCCTTACGACTGCGGAATAGTTTGATCATCGATTCCCACATCACATGCGGCCCTGATCTCAGAGTTCTCATGCACATAGTAGCAACCTTATTGCAAATATGTGTCATTATGTGCCTTGATTTTTGTTGTGTCCTTTGTTGATATTTTATTTTCCATGCTTTACA